ACCTATTTGCTAGAACCAGTTGTTAACATTCTAAGCAGTTCAGAGAACCAGTTGTTAGAAGAAATTACTGGCCTAATCCTGTAAGGAAGGCAGGAAGGAAACATTCTGGTGTTGCTTACAGAAACTGCCTCTCCGTTAATCCTTAATACATTCATGGCAGGACTAGACTTCCTGTCTCAGGAACTTCTCTGGAGTTATTTTTCCCTCCTTTGCTGGTACTTTGCTTGTGTGGAGTGACCACTCAAAGTTACAATGGAACTGAAAAAAATGACTTATGACCATTTTTCACACTTACGACTGTTGCAGCAACCCCACAGTCAGGCGAGGAGATGTGTGCCTCGATGTGAGTGATATTGAGTTGGCCACACCCAGCCAATAACATGACCACCAAGCCATGTCCACTCAGTCACATGACCACCAAGCCACATCCACCACCTAAGCCACACCCACAGAATTGGTTGTTAAAAAAATTGAATCCCACCCCTGACTAATGTCCAAGCCATTATAATTCACTGGAATTTCCTTCTTTCCCAATTATTTAAGGGACATCAATGATGCTCACCATGAAATATCTATAAATATTTTAAAACGTAGTACATACAGTAATACAGACATGACTGATAAAAGAGCTAACTGGTCTTTGCATTCTTATAAGCAAAAGTGTATGTATATTAATGAGCACAATTTCCTGCCTGCCCTGATGTATTCAGTCTAAATACTTAAGAATACTCATACAGCATCTTCTTTTCCTAATACATCTTATTTCAGACTGCACTTGGGTGTTCCATCAATTGAAGGTCTTCTAATCCAACCCTGTCTAAGCAGGAAACTTTATACAATTTGAGACAAGTGCCTGTTAGGTTGAATGTGGTCATCAAATATTCTCCTCTTATGCAGGACTAGCATGTTAATGTGACAATCAAGAGGGCTTTTTTTGCCACATAATTTCTGACCAATCAGTTGAAGATCATCTACATTTAAAAAACGCTGTCAATTTAGAGAAGGGCAGGCAGGTGATATTGTTACTCAGTTCATCTGGTCTATTTGCAGTTGAATGTGCACACTTCTGATTTTCTGCACTTCTCTAATCAGTTGGCACCTGCGCTTTACAATCTGGTTTCTGACCACTGAGGAGATGAAAACTGAAACCAAGCAGGAAACATATGGAACATGTAGAGTCTTGCTTATGGTAACATTTCTTAATTTGCTAGCACCGTAGCTCCTAGCTTGGCTGCCATAAATGATGAAACCATAGAAAAGGAAGGTTCTATTCCACACAGCCTTCTGTTAGAAGCAGATACAAAATCATCTTGTCAGTCTGACAGTGGAACAGAAAAACAGAATTTTAGTATTTTTAGTTTATTCACAATTACGTTATTGCACCAATGCCCCCCTTGACACACGATAACTGCCTATTTATTACCAAAGTGTTGTGGCCTCTCGGCCACCACCACCCAGACAGCCGAATCAGAGGAGGCAGCGGAGTGGAAGTCTGGTATCAAGACAATCTAAGAGCTCTAAGGGGGAAGAGGGAATAAAGCGGTCAGAGATAGAGACAGAGGCAGAGCCCGGGCCATCCCTCAGCCCCCAGAGGGAGAGACAACAGACCCCCAGGTCCGTAAGTGGCTGATGAGGAAGAGAAGGAACAGCTGGGTCCAGGGCCTGATGCACGGATGCACAGAAGGCAGAGAGCACCGCTGCTAGCTAAGCCCCACCCTAGCTCTGGGGATAAAAGGCAGGGGGCGGAGGTGAATAGGTGTGGCAGAAAACTATTTGTCTCCCTGTTGGTCAGTCACTGATAGTCTGAACTTCTGAATCCTGTCTGGAACTGTATCGGAATCTGCAATGTTGAGAGTCAGGTGCGCCTTTGGAGCATGCATGTGTCTCTGCTGCTGGAAAAAGAACGAGCGCACCTTACAGGACGTCCGGTACAAGGGAGGTGAGGGGTGGGAGATAGAGAGACAGTCCTGGTGGGTTGGAGCCATTTTGGGGGGGAAAGGGAGCGAGCTTTGATTTCCATAGGCATTTAGAGATTTTGTTAGCCTACTGTGAGAGACTCTTTGATGGCGCTCCTAATAAAGGAAACGCTAGTTAACAAACAACATGCTTGTTGTGTTTGGGAGTCGGGTCAGAACACATAGTGTTCTAAGAAGCTTCCAGAGTTTGACACTAGTATCCATACTCACCTGTAGTACTTGTATGTTCTCTCTGGAGACATCCAATAGAACTCTTATGTCTTTCCTTAATAAGTAACGTGTTAACTTAACTCAAGTAATCCAGTTTATTGACCCAGTTTGTGAAAGAGTTGCTGTGCTTAGAAAAACACAGCTGTTATGCTGGCAGTCCATTGAAAGTCCATTCCTCTCCAGCAATGATCCGTTCCAGAACAGCTCGTTTCAGATGAGATTCCCAGAATATGGCAAGTCTTTAAATATTAGACATCAACATACAAACGATGTAAATGCATTCATTTATACAGGGAGTCCTCGACTTAACCATTCATTGAGTAGTCAAATAGTTCAAAGCTACAATGGGTCTGATAAAAAGGACCTATGACTATTTTTCACCCTTACGACCACTGCAGCGTCCCCACGTGATCAAAAATTGGATGCTTGGCAACTAATTCATATTTGTGACAGCCGCAGTTGTCCCAGGCACACGAGGTGACCTCCTGCAACCTTCGGACAAGCGAAGTCAATGGGGAAGCCAGATTCATTTAACAACCGTGTAACTAACTTAGCAACTGCAGTGATTCACTTGACAACTCGGTTAAGAAAGAGCCATGGTGGTGAAGTCATTATAATGCCGTATTGCAGGCTAATTTGTCTGACTGCCAATAGTTCAATTCTCACCAGCTCAAGTTTGACTCAGCCTTCCATCTTTCTGTGGTGGGTAAAAGGAGGACCCAGATTGTTGGGGGCAAGAGGCTGACTCTGTAAACCGCTTAGAGAGGGTTGTGAAGCACTGTAAAGCGGTATATTAAGTCTAAGCGCTATTGCAAAAATGGGGCAAATGTCTCACTTAGCAACAGAAATGTTGGGCTCAGTAGTGGTCGTAAGTCAAGGACTACCTGTATTACAAATCACTTATCCACATTTTTAAAATAAGCTAACAACATTTCTTTCTGCTTCCATTCTTTAAAAAACACCCACACTTTATGTTGGAAAATTAACCTATGGCTATCTGAAAATATATGGCCCATTTTCAGAATCCTACCCTTACTCTACCGAGTTTGCTTATTTTTGTTTTATATATAAAATACTGCTTTACCATTTAAAAACTTGAGAATCTTTTAAATTGAGAGCACTATTTCTGTTACGTTAGTGGCAGTTTTTCTCCTGCATATTTTTCCGTTTAAAACTACAGCATGCTAATAAAAATCATCCATGAATAATCATAGATATAGCTTCTATCCTGCAAATGCTTCAACAAAAACAGAAATTGAAGACTGCCTTAGTAACAATTTTGAGGTAGTATTATTTAAGGTGGAAAGTTTACTTTCCCTAAAAACACCATTTTAATCGAGGCTATTTTTCAATTAAATATGATGTAAGCTATCAATACTTAAAGAAAGAGTTTACTAATATATTATTAGCTATTATCTTATATCTGGGTTAATGTACCATTAATGCAAATGTATATCCTGAAAATGTAAGGAAATTTAAAAAACTCGCCCCATTATTTTAGTTTTCATAATGGAGCCTCAATTTAGAAACAAATAATGTTTCTTCCTCTTTTTTGAAAGGGTGATTTGCAACAGGTGGTATAATATTAAGTCATTATTACATGGATAAACTTTGCAGCAAAAAATTGCCAGCACTATTTATTTTAGTTGTCAGTACTTTATACCTCCATGCAGTACTGTTCAGTCCAATACAGAAAGGTTATTAGAAGAATAAGAATAAAATAACCACATCATCAAACCATTTGGGAGCCTTCTTAACAGACTCCCTTATAATTTATCATGATAATTCAAAGTACTCAATAAACTGTATAAACCCTATGCCTTTAAACAGGCATAGGAAGATAATGGCTCCCCTATAGCTGCATTAAAACTTCCAGCCTCCTTCACTAGGGGCAATGTTGGTAGGGCAGGTAGGGGATACAACGATGGAAAGGCTACAGGGTTCTTATCCCCAAGTCAAGTCAAACCCTAGATCGAAAAATGATGATGTAGAAGCATAGAGATGCGTTTATTACTTTCAGACAAATAAGGATGGATATCATTTATGCCTGGTTTCACAAGTTCCCCTCGATTCGGGACAATGGAAGGCACTGAAAAGCTGGTATAAAACATTATGTAGGATTGTCCATGTATCTGTAGCTATCCTAATTAATTACTGAGCGATTGTTACTATATTTACCTCTCCCTACATAACCACTCTGGAATTTCTCCTGAACATTTCAATTAAAGGTGAATCCTGTCTGTACAGGGCAATGATACAATTACTTTCAAAATAAATTATCCAGAGTTTATGCAGATTTATAACTATATTGTTTCTTAACTTTTGTTTTTGCTGGTAGCACAGGATAAATTTCCCCATTTTATCTACTTTTTCACATGACCCAGGAATTAGAATTCAAGACGCGGTCTTCAAGAGGTAGCATTTGCAGTAAGCTAAATTTGAAGCAGATATGTGTTTCAAGAATCCACCCCCCTTTTATTTCCTGATGACACAAAATTATTTCTTCTTCTTCTTCTTCTTCTTCTTCCTCCTCCTCCTCTTCTTCACTTTCGAATAAAACTTAAGATCTTTTGGCTTTCTTTGCCCATTTGAAGAACTAGCTAGCTAATCAAGTTGTTACCTATTAGCTGAATTCTGAACCCTTCTTCTGAAGGGAGGCAGTTCTGTGCAGACAGATATATTGGTTTATCATCTTGTTTATATAGACAAAGAAAAGTTTACATTCAAACTATTCGCTTAGAACCCCTTACTGAAGAAATTCAGAAAAATATGACCAATGCAAAAAAAGGAAATTGTATTTTTGATACTGTTTAGTTAGCTGCTATACGTAAACAACATATCCATCGTTAATGTTTAATCCTTTCTTTCATTAAAATACAAGGACGCATAAACAATATAAAAACCCTGAATATCTTTTAGATCACGTAAACTAAAAATCCACTGATAAATATCCACATAAAAGGCAGTAAACCAAACGAGATGTAACGAACTGCTATCACAAACCCTCTTCTTTGGGGTCTATTATTCACTCCCAAATCTTTGAGAGAACAGAGTTTATCTGCGGTTCAGAGGAGTATTTGAGCTACATATGGTGAATGAGTACTTGCTATAGCAGCCAGCAGTGGCAAATCATTGGATTCAATCCTAGAAATGGAAATGAGAAAGGGTTAATAATATTTAAGCTACATAAAGTTATTTAAGCATTCCAATGAATTGGAACTGAGTAAACACTATATTTAAAAAAATAAGTCTTCCATTCTACATGTATTCACCTTCTTGAACATTATGAATGTCTTTTCTTTACATTCAAAGTTTGCATTTTCTTTACATTCAAAATTACATTCATATTTTTGTTGATCTGGGACTATAAATAATAAAGAAGGTATTCACTTTTAAAAGTGAGTATCTTTTAAATAGCAGAGGTCCCCAGTCCCCAGTCCATGAACTGGGCAGAGGTGGTATTCAGCCAGTTCGGACCAGTTCTGGAGAACCGGTAGCGGAAATTTTAAGTAGTTTGGAAAACACCGGCAAATACCACCTCTGACTAGACCTGCCTCTCCCATCTATTCTCTGCCTTCCATTGAGTCCCACCTGATTGGCTGGGTCTTCTTTGGTTGCCCTGCACAGGAGAAAGGAGCTGGAAAGCAGGTCAGTGTGGTGGGGAGGGAATGGAGAGTTTACAGTATCCTTCCCCTGCCACGCCCACCACGCCACACCACGCCCACCAAACCATCCCTTCCCTGCTTCCTGTCCTGCCATCGCCAGTCTATGGAGCCGGAAAGATTTCGGGACCACTGTTCTAAGACTTTTCAAACAATATCATTGATAGTCTCTGTAACCAGTAATAGAGTAGAGAAGACATACTGGGGAAAAATAGAAATCATATTGATCCTTTAAACCAAGAACAGACATTTTGCAGCTCATTCCTAGACCACTGATTCTGTTTCTGTTTCTGTTGCCAAATTGTTGTTTTTTTAATGTGCTTGGAAAATAAATTCAAAGGCATTGATCACAATAATTGGGCTCAATTAACTTACTACACTTTTAACTACATTAAAAATAAACCAAGTTTAGGATTTATGTACAGAGGAAGACTTCACGCTGATGAGAGCAAATACTGTTGATCTGGCCCAATACTGGGCTAGTATCATTTAGTTTTAATCCTATTTATATTACATACATTTTACACATGCTGTGCTTTTATGATCTATTTTATATCTGTTTTATTTGCTCAATATTGAAGATCATAGGTGTACCCCTTTGAAAATGTTTCTGACACGAAAGAAGCATTTACTGACACCAGTCACTTTTTAAGGATGGTGGTGGCAGCCTTTGGGACACTATTTAAAGGTCAAGTAAACAAACGTTGGGCGTCCAAGTAAGGACCGACGGCAGATTAAGCATCCGTCTGGATGTACTCTATACGCGGGAACGGCATTGTAGTGGAATTGTCAGGCAGGTTCTGGCTGATGAAAATCTCCTCAGAGGAAGGAAGAGGCCATTGGAATCACCTATTTGCGTTCTGAAGGAGCTGCTCCGGATGAGGAGATCACAGGAGTTCAGCTACTTGTACTCGACAGCAAGTGGAGCAGCTTGGAAGTTGAGGGATTTACAAGTGCTGTGCAGCCTTAATAGAATTTGATTGGCAAGAGCTTTTCTTAAACCACCTTTGAACTTAATTACTTTCTAACCTAAGAAAAGTATTCCCAACAGCAGTGAAAATCAAAGACTCTTGGTGAATGCATTTTTTTTTTTGAGATTTGAAGAAAAGGGGGAAAAGTTATTTTAAATAATTTTAACTTAAAAGCAAAAAAAGCTTAGCAAAATTGTGATCTTAAGAAAATTTTAAAGAGATAAAAGGGACATGGTGTAAAAAAAACCAAAACCATCCAGAAGAAATATTTTTTTTCTGGTGAAAATGCCTTTGAAAAAATATCAATAGCAATTAGCTAACAGATTGGACCTTTGTGGGAATGCTGATAGGTTATTAAGTACAAGTGGTCCTCAACTTATGACCACAATTGGAACCAGATTTTTGGTCACTGAGCAAAGCAGTCGTGAGTCACCCACGTGACCGCTTTGCTCAATGACGGCAATTCCATCTCTCCCGGCTGCGGTCATTGAATGATCGCATGAATTGTTATAGGAGGCGGAGTAAAAGAGCTGCCAGCTAAAGGCGGGAAGGCAGCTCTCTTCTGTGTGCAGAAGCACCCTCTTGTGGCGGGCTGCAGAAGTGAAGCTCAGAGTTCTGGAATCCAAACATCGTTTCTGCAGCCCCTTGGAGGAGTTTCCCTTGTCTGTGCATGGAAGAGAATATGGGCCCTGGGCAGAAGAAAGAAAGCTCACAATTCTCGCTTCATTTCTGAAGCCCAGTGGAGGAATTCCTCTGCTCTTTGTGTGCAGCAGGTGGCTTGGCTGGAAAAAAAACACGCAGGGATCCTGAAGATCTTCTTTTCTGTAGCCTGACAAAGGATTTCTGCCACCACTATCACCACCACCCCCATATATGGAAGGGAAGGAAAACTATTTGTCAGGTGACAGCAGTTTGCAATCTTCCCTGACAGAAGGGAATCCTGCAGATCAGTTCTTGATCCTCTACTGCACTGAAAGTATCTTGTTACTGTGTTTCTCACATAATAAGGCCGGGTCTTATTTTTTTTGGAGCCCCCCAAAAATAGCTAGGCCGTCTTTTGGGGGGTGACTTAATTCACCCCCCCTTGCATCTTCAGGCGGGCGGCGACGGCTTGGATGTTGACCTCGGCGTTGGTGGGCCACTTCGTATCGGGGTCAACGCAGGCAGCACCATATCCGGGTGTGCAACAAAAGTACTTCTTAACAGAAAGCCCCCCCCACAATCCCCCCCCATTTCGCATGTTTTAATATAGGCCTTAATTTGGGGGGAGGGGCTTAATTTCATTTCATGCCTATAAAATATGCTGGGACTTTCTATTGGGGGAGGCCGTACTGTTGGAGAAACAGGGTAGTAACCATGATTAAAAATATTCCCCCAAGATGCTCCTAGGAAATTAAAAGAAGAACCTTCCCTTTTTAACTATTCAGAAATAAAAATACAGCAATTATTACTTCAGGTCAGGCATATAACGCTATCTGATGAATGTTACACTACACCTACATCTCCTGACATGTTTAAAATAAGATATCCTGATCTTAAATGGAGAAAAAATTAAAATTGATACATTTCCCCTTCTCGATCCATTTTTAATTTATATATTTTAATATATAAATTGCACAAACAGTATTGACCAATATGTTTATTACAACTAATGGAGACCCTCCAGTGCTGCTGCGCTTTCAGATTAATGGTCTGTGATCTAATTATTTGATTTTCTGATGTCTTGCCAACAGTTGTGGCTGGGCATCTTCAGAGCTGAAAGTCACCTGTTCTGCAGTGGACTTGTTGGCAATTCACAGGCGACTCCTTCCTCAATTCACATATGAGAGAGAGTCTGCAGAGCATCTGCGTTTTAAAATTTTATTTTGCTCAGTAAGTAAAAGACTAGAAATTTCATTTAAAGTAACAGCTCAGGTTGATTTACAGATGGACAATGCAACTTACACACACACACACATACACACATACACACGTAAATACTGGTCCGCCTTTTACAGAAAACCTGACACAAGATAAAAAACCACGCATCTTGACTATTAATGGAGTGAAAGACGGGTAAAAATAACAGCCTTAGTTTTTAACTTTATCAGCACTCACCCCAATACCATTCCAAGCTCTTTCACATGGACTCTTGTTTGTCCTCGTAAATATTTAGATAGCATTGTGCTTTTATGGTACATTTCCTGTAGACGATCTTCAAGGTGCATTATACACTGTAAGTGGAAGAAGAAACCCACATTGATAAAGCCAAATAGTTTATAAGAGATAAAGTGTGCGACTTATAAATATTTTGTTGAGGCCACACTAATGTTCAGTGTCATGTTGCTGTCATGTGATGTTTTGCGATGTTTTCTCCCATTAGTGGAGCTGGGGTGGACATGGCCTGCGCGTGTCGCATCTGGCCCCTGGTCAAACTGAACTGGAATAGACATGGTCACAGGTCAGCCAATGGGAACTGTTTGGTGACTAAGAAACAAGCATTTGTTGTGAGCCAGACACCTTGGAGACTGGCCGTGGCTTAGGGTTACTGATCTGTACATAAAAGTTATTTTGTCCTTGGATCTTTGCGTCTATATTTATATGGCTTCTGTGATTATGTTTTCTGGATTCTTCTACCTCTGACTTCTTCTGGCATGTTATGGTATACATGCATCATATTATTGTACATAAAGAAGTTTCTGCTATAAATGAACTCTGCTGAATTGTTTACTTGTGTGCTGGTTGGATTGATGCAAACTCTGACAAACAAATTTTTAATAAAGCCAAGACCAAGCAAGACTAGGTGCCCAAAGAATATGTCCACTCTCATACCCCAACATGTGACGTCTCCTTCTTTTCCATCTTGTCATCTTATAGGACCCAGGAGGGCTTTGCTTTTTCAGTGATTGCCCCATTCTCTGGAATTACCTCTGCACTGTTCTCTCCCCCACTCCCACACACACACACACACACACACACACACACATAACAGGCCCCAAAACATCTAGCCTTTAGGAAAGTCACTCAAATATGGCTTTTTCTTGGCCCAAGCATTCAGGGCCAAATGAATGAAAGTCCCTCCTTTTGGTTGTTATGTGCTTGTCACGATTTTATCTTTATATACTGCAATGGCTTATTGTTACATAGTGGGTTTTTTCCCCCTGTTTTTGATCATTTGTTTGTTTTCTTATGCTTTATGCTGTCCAAAGTCCCATTGTTATGAATGGATGAATGCATGAACGAATGAATTTGAGACAATATACGGTGGGTGAAACTATTTTCCTTTTATGTGGTCGCTCATACGATATAAAAAATGTGGACACCATTGGCCAGATTAGACAAACAAAGGCTATAGTCATAAAACTTCCTGAGGAACAGTTATCACTTCTTCACAATTGGTGTTATGTGCTTGTCACAATGTTATCTTTATATACTGTAATGGGTTATTGTTACAGAGTGGTTTTTTCCTTTTTTAATCTTTTTTTTTAATGCTTTATGCTGTCATAAAACTTCATGAAGAACAGTTATCCGTTCTTCACAATTGCCAAGGTGAACCTTTAGATTAACATAGTTAACACGTGGGAAAAGAAAGCATTAGTCACCACAGAGCCCCGTCTAAGTCTGAAAATCAATGCAGAAATACACGCAGTTCAAAAGCCCGGAGCAACATCTTATCTTTCCTCTTTATCTATATTTATTGTACACACATGCTTGTAAATGAGTACTTACAAAGTCAGCAGAAAGATTAAGCTTGTAAAGTTGTAAAACAGACTGCAATAAAGATGATACCAGGCTGGAGACGAGTACATCTTTGCCTAATTTTATATTGTCAGTCATCTTTTTCTGGCTAGTAGACACCTGAACCGTCCATTTATCAGCATCTGCTATAATGTAAACAGCTTCTGCTATAGCTTCGTCTAGTACAGGATGCTGTAAAACACACACAACGAAACAGAGTGAACCAAGACATTGTATTTAGTTAAAACATTTACGTAGCTGCCATTTTATTTCAAAATCTGGGTGGTTCCCATTTTCAGAAAAATGCCTTTGTATTATGGGTTATTTTGAGGTCAAGCTTAAGAATAAAACCTGCTTTCTATCTAGCATAATAGAAGAAACATTTGGCAGCCTGTAAATATACCTAATTAGTCAGCTGTTATCTACCGTTTCTGGAAGGACTGTGTTCACAGCCAAATGAAGTCATAAGCCTGAGAGTAATTTATTCAAGGATAAACCTCTACTGCCTAATAATAGATTAATATTGAGAGAAATATGCTTTTAAAATGATCTTTTCAGATGTATTTTGTGCTAGAATATTTACTTGTTTCAGCAGACAGATTAGATGCAGATTATGAACAGGGGCCCTTCATTTAACAACACAGGGCTGGAAATCTGTATGGATATGTAGTGATTTCTGGACCAGGACAAAGAGGGTGAATGCAGAACATAATAGCTACAAAGATTAGAATGGGATACAACTGAAAGCTTTCTAGCCAAAAATGATTTTTTCATTTCCTGGCTGTTCCAATTAGTCAGGGATAGGAAGCCAATTTCACTGCCACAAACCAGTCACAACAATATTAGCCTAGATTACACTTTGACTTTGAGTAATTCACATTCTGATTCAGTTAGGTTAAATCTCAATTAATATTAGACTAAACTGGTCATTCTATAAGGTGCAAACTTTAAAATCAGGTTTGCAGGGCTGAACTTCATTATTAGTTGCCAGTTATAAGGCAGTTACATTTGCAAGGTCGCAAAGAAAGAAAGAAAGCAACTTTACTAGTTTGTTCCTAGCCTAAAAATATAATTCCTTTCTCAGAGATGATTTTTACTATAATTGATCAAAGTCACTTGCAAACCCATTCTGGATCAGGCGGTTGAATAATTTAATTGAATAATTTCATAAAATATTTTATTTATTCATTCATGAAATTTGTAGACTGTTCAATACATCGCAACTCTGGTGGCTTACACAATAAAATGACACAAACAACAATATAGACAATCTTAAAAAAAAAAGAAAATCTGGAGAAACAGCACCATTTAGTAGGCCATAAATAGAGTGGGTCTGTAACCCACCTTAACACAACATCTGAAGGAACAGCCGAGCTTTAAGGAACCGTTTAAATAAGATCAGGATGAGAGCCATAAAAATCTCACGAGAATTGACTTCTAGAGTCAGGTGCCTTGACAAACCAGCAGATGATCCTGTTTAATTAATGGAACCCAGAGCATGCCAACTATGTCAGAAGGGATGGCATGGATGAGAACTACTGAAGACAGACAGCCCCTCCAAAAACAGGGCTTACTCCATGAAGGATTTTAAGGTGACAATCAGCACCTTAAATTTTGTTAATTGAACTGAACCAGCACTTCAAAAAACAGAGGTGTTTTATGAGCACCCCCTGGCCTAGTTATAACTACATATGCTTGTTCCGGTCCAAACTGCAGCAGCTTCTGCGTGATTCTGCGTGATTCTGCCTTACATAAAGTGAATTATGAGATTCACAGTAAGATTTACAATTATAATGAAATGACTGCAAGAAAACAAACAAGCTCAGAGAGCACCAAGGACTCCTAAATTATAAGAATCCAAATATGAGGTAGTCAAGAATGTAACTATTCTTTTATCTACAAATAGCAAAAATTACAATGGAATGTCACTAATGAAACAAGATCAGTGAGTTTTTCCTTCGTGTTCAAAACATTATTATTAAAGCTTTGCACAGAAATGGACAGACTTACATTTATGGTGTGACTCAGCTCAGTGGATAAACGTTGCTTAAGTTGTTCATCTGAACTTATTCCATGCAGCACTAGATCAGGCATATAAGAGGTACAATAGCCCCCAAGAAGAGACCTTCCATAATGTATCATGCTTTGAGTGCTAACTGTGCAAAATCTGAAAATCAAGAATTTACTGTTTACTGAACACATCTCAGGGTCTTACAAAAAAAGTAATCGGTATGTGCAAGTTAGATTGGCAAGACTGTAACATGATCTGCATGGGTGACATTATGATCTGCTTTGTTTTTCAAGATTATAACTGAAGAATGATGAAAAAATACCATTCACTCTGATATATGATATATAAATGTAACAGCTACTCTTTAGCCTGCAAACTTCTATAACATATGACTGAATCTTTCTCACAGAAAACTGAACACAATTTAATAGAATTCTAATAACTCAAACAATGACTCCAATGTTCAGTCAAATCCAGCCTACATGGATTACCGTAACTATGAACAGTAATAGTCTGTGTATGTTCCACAGCAAGTAAATCCATTGTAGAATTAGATTTGATCATAGAAGTAAATTCAAAGATTTGTACCTTTCATGCGAGAACATGGTCCCTTGCTAACTACCTGAAAGGTTCATTCTCTGCTATCTTCTTTTCAGAAGCTAGTGATTTATTTTAATTAGGCAAATTTCACACAATGCATACTGCACCCCATTACAATTGCATATTTTCAGATATATTTCAGTTTCTGAGTTAGTAACCGTACAATTTCTCTATCTACCTTCACAGCCTATTAAATAGGCCATAAATCCAGGAAACAAAATCCCAATTTTTATGGTGAAACATTTTAACTGGAACATTTGAGAGCGTTAACCAAAAATGGAAAAATGTAATATAAAAATATCTATTTGAAATATATTTAGGAAAGGTCTTATCAATGTAATGGAACACACACACACACACGCGAGCGCCCATATGAACATACACAATTAAAAACACACAGACCAACTTATCTTGGTTTTTTTTGTCAAACGAATTACACTCAGACAGCAAATCTGACATATGGTATAGAGGTAGTTCCTGACTTAGTTTTTTCCCCAAACACCATCACTCTGCTTAACAAATAATTCCCTCAACACTGTTCAACTATTACAAAGTCTGCGCTACTATAACTGTTAATCTTCTCATCACTCCTTACCCCCCCCTCCCCTCCCACTTGTCACGGTATGACTGTAACTTTGTTGCTTGTATCCTTACGATTTATATTGACTGTTTCCTAGTATGATTGATTGCTCATTGTACCCCAAGACTATTATTAAGTGTTGGACCTTATGATTCTTGACGAATGTATTTTTTCTTTTATGTACACTGAGAGCATTTGCCCCAAGACAAATTCCTTGTGTGTCCAATCACACTTGGCCAATAAAGAATTCTATTCTGTTCTGTTCTGTTCTGTTCTGTTCTATTCTATTCATTTAGTGACCATTTGAAGTTAAAATGGCTCTAAAAAAAGTTACGTACGACCGTTTTTCACCTTTGTGACCACTGCAGCACCCCCCACCCCAAGGTCACATTATCAAAATTCAGAGGCTTGGCAACTGACTCCTATTTATGATGGCTGCAGTTTCTCAGGGTCACGTGATCACCTTTTGTGACAAAGCAAAGTCAACGAAGAAGCCAGATTATTCATTTAACAACCATGTTACTAACTTCACAGCTGCAGTGATTCACTTAAAACCGTGGCAAGGAAAATCATAAATTGGGGCAATTTATGTCTCAATTTACAACTAAAATTTTGGGCTGAATTGTGGTCACAAGTTGAGGACTACCTGTAACAATAAATGTAAACATTTTTTAAATTGCTTAATATTATTTTATTAACAAAAACAAGCAATCCTGAGTTTGTATCAGTAAACTACATATACTTTCTAATAATTTGATGCGGGAATCATTATGTTGGCTTGCAAAGCCTTTCCAGATTAGACATATTAATTTGATTATAATGAGCTTCCTTGGAGTAAAACTGAACTACTAATCAAAATGTACTAAGCTGACTAATACTGGCCTTACTATTATGTGGAAGTGCTGCATATAGCATAGACAAAGAAGGTGGTCTATACTTTCAGTTACTAAGAAATATTTTTTGATAACCTCAATGACCAAAGCCATGAAGTTGATACCAATAGCATCTGCTGAAATCCACTGCATATGGAAGACTGGATTGTGAAAAATTACTAACATATGAGAATTAACAAATGAAATGCGAGAAGAAAAAACAAGGATAAATTTTCATATAGTGTATGAGAATAAAATAAAAGGTAATCACAATAAATTAAAATAGAGTAATAGAATTGATAAATATATGCAGGGAAATGATGGTGTAGATTTACTGTAATTGTAAGTGAAAAGTTTAAATGTATGTCAGAAAACATAAATGGATATACTGACCATCATAAGGAGGTATGAAAATAGGAAATCATAAATAACAATTGGACAATTGTTCAACATTTTAAAATTAATGAATTAACATTGCTGAAATAAGTGCAAATATCTATGTATAGGAGTGTTATATGTTATGAGGCAGTGATGGTTGGGTATGTCAGGAGAAACATAAAAGTCAGTTGTATATAGGGAGAAAAGGGCACTTATACAATGTGTGTGATAATACAAGGGATAGTCAAGAACACTTGAGAGCTGAATATTTTGTGGATCAAACATAAGAGTGAGTGGCCAGTAAGAAAAAAAGTATGTTGATCTGTTTTGGACATATACTGAAGATAGAATGAACATATGAATAAATACATGAAAGAAAACTGTATCACAAGGAAAGGGATGTAAGTGAACAACTGAATAAAGAAATTAATCTGTATAAGGACTTATTGGAAGCCAAGATACAGAATATGGTGAATTATGTTGGTATAAAACAGTCTTAGCAATTTTATTTTATTTTTCTTCATGCCTTTGATTTCTTTGGCTTATAATTTGTTCCTTTTGGCACTTGATATAGTGATTCTTTTCAAAAAAAAGAAATAACATGATGGGGTAGCATATATGTAAAAGTAACAACAATAAGCATACAGCATCTCATGTTATTTTTAGTACATATTAAAAGCTGTTATATTACTCAGGTAAATGCACCTTTCCGCAGCTTAAGATTTAAGCTTATGATTCCATTGTTCTGGCTAAGAATCAGTTGGATCAGACGGAGATGACGAAAAACAGGTTATAAGCAGGGGTGGGATTCAAATTTTTTAACAACCAGTTCTGTGGGCGTGGCTTAGTTGGTGGGCGTGGTTTGGTGGTCATGTTATTGGCTGCACGTGGCCAACTCAATATCACTCACATCGAGGCAAGCATCTCTCGCCTGGCCTCTCATGACTGTGAGGATGCTGCAACAGTTGTAAATGTGAAAAATGGTCATTAAGTCATTTTTTTCAGTGCCATTGTAACTTTGAATGGTCACTCCACACAAGCAAAGTAGCAGCAAAGGAGGGGGAAAAAACTCCAGAGACATTCCTGAGACAGGAAGTCTAGTCCTGCCAAGAATGTAATAAGGGTTAACGGAGAGGCAGTTTCTGTAAGCAACACCAGAATGTTTCCTTCCTGCCTTCCTTACAGGATTAGCCCAGTAATTTCTTCTAACAACCGGTTCTCCGAACTGCTTAGAATGTTAACAACCGATTCTAGCGAATAGGTACGAACTGGTAGAATCCCACCTCTGGTTATAACCTACCCATTCCTCTAGGAACAGTGCAAGAAACAAAAAGTAAAACAACCCTCAGAAGTTCTGATTATTATTATTTTTCTTTACCTTGGCAAAGCAAGTTCCACTTCTAAAAATTCTTCAGGTCTAGAGTTACGAGTGACTGACTGCTCATCTGGAATGTACGTGCAACCTTCATCATCACTGTCTCCAAGAGCGCTATCAGAACTTTCATTTCTAGGAATGTCCTCCTCAGTTCCACAATGGAGTTTGCTTTCAACCTCCCCGCAGGGGATGCTCTTAGTAACTGCTTGGCTGGACTTCTGGATATCAGTAGAGCTTCCTGAATCACAGTCAAGAGAATTTCTCTCAAAGTTTTCACAGCTTGCACTACCAACTTGATCCAATTCCCCCAAGTTTACCATTTTGACTTCTCTATCAGGAATGACAGGCTGAGGAACTGATAGCAGCCAAGATGCCCTTGATGTTTCTGTTTTCCCAACCGTCTGGCTAGTGGAGGTTTTAAGACACAAGTTAGATTTCTCTTCTGGGGCCCTGGGTGTTGTATGTAATGGATTTGATAGAGCACACAGAGGCTGAGTTTTACTTCTGCGTTTCTCCAAAGTTTTGTTGGCTTCCATTCTTTGGGTTTCAGAATCAGATTCGGGTGAGGTGGAGCTTCCAATCTGGAAGGTAACCTTTTCCAGTTGAGAATACACCTGGGCAATCTTCTTAGCATTTGGAACAGCTACCAAGTTTTGAAACAACTGCCCTGTTACACTGTGCTGCTTGTCCTCATTCTTTCTTGCCGTTAAATCCTCCAATACACCCTGCCTTCCACATGCGATTTCTGAATTAACTAAAGCTTTCCCTTTCTTCATTTCCCCTACAATTCTTTTTGGAGAGCTAACTCTGGAGAAGCGAGGGGAGGCTTCAGAATTGCACTCAGCATTCAGCCTCTCCCGTTTGCCCTTGAAGCAGGCAGATTCAGAGCAGCCTTCACGTTCTGCAGCAACGACAACAGCAGTGGCATCATTCTTTGGAGGCACGACGGGAGGTACAAGAGCAGGTTCGTTTCGAACTGTGACAACCACATAATCAGATTCTTCGACTTCTCCCTTTTCTAGAGTTGTTACAATGTTCCTGCCATTCGCAGCTTGCTCCCCTTTGCCGAGCCGCCCATTCCAGATCGGGTGATTCTCTTGCAATTCAGAGCAGCGTAAGAAATATGTAAGGACATAGAGAATGCGCTGAACAAGGTCCTTGTGTTTTCCAACAATTACTGTCCTTGTCATTCTCACCGGTGAACCCACCGCACCATACAAATCACCTAAATAAGCACAGCGAGCAAAGAAAAATAATAATAATAAATTAAGATACCTCAAAGACCAATGCCCAATATCTAATTTATTTGTTCAATCTAGCTATCAAAAGAATGAAAGCGCTAAGATATTATTACTTCACCTTAAATGATAAAGCCACACCTAAGTAAAAAGATCCACTTTAGTAACTCAATTTTATGTTTATTTCCGTAGAGGAAGATTAACACTCAACAGCATTTAATTTTTGTAAAAATACGTTTTTGCCAAATTATGCAAAGAACTGCAATTCAAAAAAAATCTGAAAATTCATATCTCACAGATATGGCAACAAGATGAGACAGCTAAAATCAATTGTCAGCACAGCTATTATGGTAGCAATTCCTAACTACTGCTAAAACATTAATCTTTTGATTTAAATACTAATAGTGTAATTGTGAAATTGAGTTCTGGAAGATCTGAACAAGTCTACCTAGAAATGTTGAAGGTGAAATATAATGACTGGATGTGCCACTGTTTAATTTTTGCACAAAAACATCCTTTTACTCTGCTTCTATAAGCATAAGAATTGAATGTCTACTCCAGATTGGAGGAGTGGGAAGGTGATATGAATTCCCATTTAAGATCCAGAATGATCGCAATATATGTCATAATGCTTTTACTGGACTCTGAGATAAGGCATTATCACAAACCACGGCACTTAAATGATTCTGATTATGTGTTTCATGAAGATATGTTTTTGCATTTATGTTTCATTAATAAGGATGTCAAAAGAGAATTAAACCCAATTTTGTAGCGTGCAAGCTATGTAATAACCACTAGAGGGCACACATCATGTTAGTAACAATCTGACAAGAGAAAGCTAGTTTAATAATTTTCTAATTGGAAAGAACAAGCCATTATGTTTAATGCTAGATGTTTGAATCTTGTTTACAAAACAAGTCTGGAAAAAGTGATTTATAATTGCTCAGTAGAATTTTGAACGATCTTCCGGAACATCATTCATAATGGTCACCTATTACAGGTACATGCATTATCCACTTTAAAGGGATTTATTTATTTATTTATTATTAAATTTATTGGCCTTCCATCTTACCACAGGGTAATTTTTGATCATCAAGCCAAAAAGACAGCTCTTTCAATCAGAATTTAACTAAAAGCCCTGAAGGGCTTTTGAGCCATGGTGGCGGAGTGGTTAAGAGTACTGCAGACGATTTCTGCTGACTGCCGGCTGACTGCAATTTGGCAGTTCGAATCTCACCAGGCTTAAAGTTGACTCAGCCTTCCATCCTTCAGAGGTGGGTAAAATGAGGACCCAGATTGCTGGGGGCAAAGACTGACTCTGTAAAACTGCTTAGAGAGGGCAGTAGAGTGCTATGAAGCGGTATTGCTATTTCATGGATTTTTAACTATTGGAAGTCCCGCAGGATTTGGTGGCATTACAAATTAAAATAAATAAAATCATTTGTGCATAAGAGCACATTTCTTTCCAGGGGGGAAAAAAGTCTCCATGCCTAAAGAGTCATCTTGAATTTAGATGTGAATTTATTGTACTGACCAAGCTGTGCCCAAAGTGGATTGTACGGGTGTGATTTTGCCAGCATATTCACAGATGGTGAGGCCTGTTTTTCACAGAAAACCCTGATGGAGAGATGATCAACTGGCATCACAGTAGGGACCCAGGCCAAGTGATAGGTTAACACTGCTGTTAATAGAGCAGCAAAAAACCTATAAAAATAAGAAGCAGCAGACACAATATTATATCTCCGCAATAAACCTTCCATTCAAACTAGAGGAGCAACACAAAAGAAGATTACTCACTGGTTTTTGCTGCTCTGTTCTATCAAAACAGCAAATTCCTTGAGAAAGTGTTGGCATAACAGAGTCTTTTCTGAAGCACAGGACATCATAGTAAGCCACACAGGTTCTGCAATCCTTGGAACTGTGTATAAATTCCATACTGTAGTTCTACCAAAAGAAAAGGACCGTGTTAAACAAGAGGAAATTGTTCAAATGTAGAAGTATTTTGCCCATAACAGGGAGAACAACCATAACTGTTGCTTCTTCCTCTCGATTTATTCGCTCTTCCTTTGTTTATGTATTTTGCAATTTATCCTCATTCATTCTCTACGTATAAGCAAAACACCTCGATATACTCAATATATCAATATTGTCCCATTGCAGGAGAAGAAGCAATGGGTGCAAACTAATCGAGGAGAGAAGCAACTTAGAACTAAGGAGAAATTTGCTGACAGTTAGAACAATTAATCAGTGGAAAAACTGGCCTCCAGAAGTTGTGAATGCTCCAACACTGGGAGTTTTTAAAAAGATATTGGATAACCATTTGTCTAAAGTGGTGTAAGGTTTCCTGCCTAAACAAGGAGTTGGACTAGAAGACCTCTAAGGTCCCTTCCAACTCTGTCACTTTATTCTCTTCTCTTCTCTTCTCTTCTCTTCTCTTCTCTTCTCTTCTCTTCCCTTCCGTCTCTTCTCTTCTCTTCCCTTCCGTCTCTTCTCTTCTCTTCTCTTCTCTTCTCTTCTCTTCTCTTCCCTTCCCTTCCATATCTTCTCTTCTCTTCCATTCCCTTCCCTTCCATTCCGTATCTTCTCTTCTCTTCTCTTCTCTTCTCTTCTCTTCTCTTCTCTTCTCTCCTCTCTTCCCTTCCCTTCCATTCCGTATCTTCTCCTCTTCTCTTCTCTTCCCTTCCCTTCCATATCTTCTCTTCTCTTCTCTTCTCTTCCCTTCCATTCCGTATCTTCTCTTCTCTTCTCCTCTCTTCCCTTCCCTTCCATTCCATATTTTCTCTTCTCTTCTCTTCTCTTCTCTTTTCTCTTCTCTTCTACTCTACTCTTACTCTACTTTATTCTTCTTTCACACCAGCCACTCACTCACTTTTAAAGTTTTATATTACTTGCTAATTTGACTGAAGCTTGACATTCTTGCCAAATAAATGAGATTCTTGCCAAACCCTTGCTTTTCTTTAAATTCTAGTAGCTTTCCACATTATACTAGAGGTATATTTTGTGCTCAGCAGAGCAGAGACACAAATTGATCTGGTGGTTTTGGAGATCCAGCAAGGCAAGTCAGAAAGCAGTCTCTGGGCCAGTTAGTATTTCTCAGGTCTACCTACCACAAAAAGCGGCTGCTGAATGGAAAAATAGGCAGTGCTGTGGATGCTGCCCAGAGCTCCTGAAGAAAAGGTGGGATATAAAGTGTTAATGGTAATCAGATGACCTGAAACCCATCGGGTCATAGTTTCAGAGACATTTCCTATGCAAATTCCTCAACAGTGGCAGAGCTACTCATGTACTTGCCTTAACTGCAAAAGTTTATAAAAATTCAAGGAGATACTCAGAGAAATATCTCCCTGGAAAATAACTCACGTTAAACTATATAACATGGTGAAAAATCAGGAACTGACCACAGGAAATGTTTTAGGAAAGTTTGTATTGTGTGATGAAATGTTTTATGACAGTATTTAGGTTAGGAAACGTTTTATAAAATTTGCCAAATTTCAGTTCTATAGGACTGACAGGTTCTGGATTTTGGACACATTCTGTAAGTTACCCATTTGAGGTACTTTGGTTCAAAAACTGTTGCCCTACAACGCACCATTTTGCCCAGTGAAAAGTTACCTATACACAAATAGGATAGTTTTAGTAATATATAGATTTTATTAAAATTACATTTACAACTAATACAAGTGGAAAAAATAAAAATAAAAATTAGAACGTGGAGAAAAGAAAAAATAGAAAAGAAAAAATATAGTAAAGAAAAAGAAGTGACCTTTCTCCTTTATTACAAGTATAAATTATTTTAATAACACCTTCCCTTTAAATACAAATATCTTTTCTTTCTATGTCACATCTATGATCTATAAATAAATCCTTAAAACCTCTTGCTTTAGTCCTGATCATCTAAAGGCCATGAAAGGTTATCCTGGAGAATATCTATTTAAACCTTGATTAGATAATTTTATATTCCTTTCTTTTACTTCTAATTATCTTCATCGTTATTCTTTTCAAACTATTTATTTAAATATGTCCTAGAACTTGATTTTTGACTTTTTCTCTGTCCTATCTTACAAATTCTTCAAAACTTCTAACAAGCCTGTAAATCCAATGTACCAAAATTATCCAGTTCATTCTCTTGGTTTGTTATTTATATATCCCTTTTAATTATAAAAACAAGAACCAATGATGTGCAATGCAACATCATTTTCCATGTTATTCTTATAACTTGACATTTTCAAATCAGTTTTGATCTTGTCAGGTAAAACTTGTTCCTCTTCCAGGATATCTTTTAAACATAATCTATCTCAGACACTCTTTAAATTAACCTCTGGATCCACTGTTCATAAATATCTTTCAATATTCTTCACTCTGTAATTGAAAATTGAGTCTGAGTGTTCTCCTTTAATTGTAATCTTAATTCATTCTAATTCTCTCTGTTTTCCAATTTTTATCTTTTTTAAAAATCAAAACAAATATATTTTCCTACGGAAACGATATTTTATAATTAATTAATGATCTTCCAGCCAGAGCTGAAGAAGCTTCTTGGATGAGAAGCAAAACATCTTCAAAGAAAAACCAGAAAGTCCAGTTGTCTCTTGAAAAAAAAAAAAGCACTTTTGGGACGCTACTGAAGAATTGGAAATCAGATATTTAGTCACAAATGCTATTTCCTGGCTTCTACTTTATTCAAATGTGTACCACTGATTTCTGGGACCAGAATGGGCTAACTAAGGGCTTAGAGCAGTGGTGGCTAACCTTTTTCGGCTCCCATGCCGAAAATTGTGAGCGCGCTCGTGCTTGCATGCCAGCACCTAGAAGGCAATGTATGCTGGGGTCCCCACGCCCCTGCGCATGTGTGCGTGATGCCCCATGCGCACCACACATGTGTGATCCCCCTGTGTGCCATGAATCTCTGAGCATGCATGCACCCGTCCCATGTACCCTGCACATGCATGCCAGATACCCGACAATCAGCTGATGGGCAGCAGCATGCGCACGCATGCGCAGTGGGGCTCTTCTAGGCGATCTCTCGCATGCTGGCAGAAGTGGCTCTGCGTGCCACTTCTGGCACGCATGCCATAGGTTTGCCATCACGGGCTTAGCGCATGCATCTGGGGAAATTCTGGAAGCTAAAGTGCATACATCCTAAAGTTGTCAAATTTGAAAAACAATGGCTTAAAATACACAAAATCAAGAAAAAATGTTGACAGTGATCCCTTGACACTGAAGCATCGTATAGTATAAATACATAACGAAGAGAATTCTTATAATCAACCAGCAAACATATATTTAAAGAATAGCAGCTTTAAAGTCTTACTTAAAAAAAATTCTACCCAATTTGTTAGGGTTTGAGGTGTGCCTCAGATTAAAGCACATACAGCATCGGAAAGGAAATAGAAGCATCTGATAGACTCCAAAAAGGCTAAACAGAACTGGACCTCACTAATACCTGGAAGGGGAACCACCACAAAATCCCAGGTATATTGGTAAGTAATACTCAAAGGTGCCAGTGGCAAACTACTTCTCTATTGCCACAAAGTAAATGGCATGGAAACGTCCATGAAGTTATCAGGGTTGAAATCAACAAGGCAGATTTGCTTTTTTAAAACTATCCTATCCTGATATATTATAAAGTTATGGATGCTCAACCATGGGTAAAGGCTCATATTTAACAACCAGTTCTGGCAATTCCATTGCCGCTGCACCATTTGTTGCAAAAATAAAAAATATTGGATGCTAGATATTGGGGCTCAGCTTTGCTTTTAATATCTAAAACTTTAATGATCAGCTCTCATGAGCCAATACTCCAGAAAATACCACTGGATTCCCAGGATCATGTGATCACCTTTTGTGACCTTCTGACAAGCAAAGTCAACGCAGAGTCCTGATTCATTTAACAACCGTGTTACTAATTAACAGCTGCAGTGATTCATTTAACAACTGGGGGAAGAAAGACCGTAAATGGAGCAAAATTCACTTAGCAACTGTCTTGCTTCGCAACATAAATTTTGATCTCAATTGTGGCAATAAGTCGAGGATCATCTGTTGGTTAGTGGAAGGATGATTTTTTTAAAAAAGAAGAGGCTCTGAGTTGTGAAATAGATTAATCTGAAGAACAGATGCGTATCTTGTCCGTCCCAATAAAATTTGACGTTAACAGTAACTCACCTAAATTCATCCAATGCATCCATAATACGGCTAATGTAAACTTGCACTCTTTGGTTTGTTTCCGCTATTTTTCTACATGTGATCATAGCCTTGGGGGGGGGAACAAAATAAGAATGGGTTAAAAATAAATGCAAAGCTGATTCTTTCGGGGTCTACATAGAACAGCTTAGATCATCATTCAAACCAAACTTGAGATACCGGTTTTTACACTTTTCTTTTTTTCTGGTATTTGCCTACAAAGAAAAGGATCCTAGAACAGGTATGTGCAACCTAAACCTTCAATTAAAAATGATTTAATTTTTTTTCTAGAGCCCTTCTGAATCAGAAAGTATTCAAAAACTATTCCTCTATGTGTTCTTTAGAAAAAAGATATTTTATGTTACTACATCCTATGTTTTGTTTGTTTGTGTATGTTTTTTAAATTTTTTAAATAAAATTCATTCATTCATTCATTCAAAAAAAACAACTACTCCCCAAAATGAGGGGGGGAAAAACCTAGAATATTTCAGCCCCACCCAAGAATATGATACAACCTCAATTAGTTTGCATCGTTCCCTTAACTATCTCAGCACAGCCCCTAGGTCCTTCCACTCCAGTTAAAAGAAAAAAGAAAAGAAAAGGATAAAAAGTCAAGTAAAACATTTGCCACCTAAAAGAAGACAGTCAGGTAGATGCATTGAAAACTAGGCTCAGGAAGAGCTACTGCATAGGCCATGCACTCAAATAAAAAGGCTTTAAATAAATAAGTAGGTCTTATTTATAAGTGAAGAGAAATGCTGGGTGCAAATTAAACCTCTTTCCGATTTATTACCCATATCAGCGGACCCCAACCTTTTTGACACCGGGAACCAGTTTTGTGGAAGACAATTTTTCCATGGGTGGAGGAGGAACACGCAACCTAGATCCTGTGCATGCGCACTTCGGCTCACCCATAGCTCATCTCCAGCCTGGTTCCTAATAGGACACAGACCGGTACTGGTCCAGACCTATCATATTGTATCAAAGCACAGGAAAGAGCTATGTCACCAGCCCAGGCCAGGCATGGCTCACTGTCCTATTTTTAGGACAAATACCATGCACCCATCTAGATCAAATGTTTTGTAAAGCTATAAATTTCTAATCTAGAAATTTGCTTGCATGGGGGAATGTATTGAGGGATATGTGCATGTATAGCTAATTCTACATGCAAACCCTTCTGTCAGCCATTTGGATTATATTCACAGCATTCAGGAAGTAGAGGAAAGTACTGAAATTCTTAGAAAGATAACAGTTTTTGGTAATTTACCCTGTCAAATTCTGAAGAAGAATTGAGTTACAAAATTCCTAGACATAGCCTAATGTATTATCTCTCAGTCCTTACCCACCTAGAGGTTTGTAAGCATAAAAACTAAATTTGTTCACCGCTTTACCATTTCAACTGCACTTTTCAGCTTGCCCATATGTGATTCAAATAAGGGGAAATGAGAGAAGAAGAAATCCTGGAAATTTTTCTGGGCCTCTTCTTTCTCAGGAAGGGTGAAAATGACGCTGATGGCAATTTTCTTCCTTCGAATCAGTGCAGGATTGAGGCCACAACTTTCATCTGCCATGCTGAATGTTTCTTCAGTTGACCTATGGGAGAAAAAAGTGGCACTGTGTGTTTAGCTACTAGCAAACTCCTGAAGTGTTTTAATTGATGCATAGTGAAGTGATACCCTCGTAAATTCCATTCAGTCAAACAGAACTGGGTCTTGATAAGCCATTATTTGTCTTAGGTCTGATTCATTCAATGAAGACTAACCAGTAAAGAAAAAAAACCATAAAGACTAGGCTCCACATATATTAAGCCAAAATTAAACAAATCACAATATAGCTTACAGAAGCATGAGCGTAGCTGGGATTATCTCAGCCCTGTGAACATTTCAACATTTCAGTTTATCTCGTTTTCTTTTCAATATCCTTCACAAGAAGTATTTTCCTATTCCTATTTTCCTATTTTTAAAAGCAGTGAAGAAATTGTAATCCAATCCCCATTGCTTGTCATGCATGGTCAATGAGGAAAAAAAGAACGGGTCTCTTAAGATGGAGAGGATACCTGTTGCCATTTGCACTTATTCTTTAACTAACCTTTCTTAAGATAGAAAGACAATTTAGATGTTTAGACCAAGTTCACAAATAGAGGAAGATATTTTTTCCCTTTCATTTTTAAAGAAGCCTTTAGAATTAGGAGCACAGGTTATGTTTTCATCTGTACTACCAACAAAAAGTCAACATCCAATAAGGGAATAAAGAATTTTAGAAACAAACCACTGGTTTAAGGGATGGTGCCACCAAGAGAATTTTGGATTCCTAGACTATGGACTGCATTATTTACATGAAGCACTTCTGGCAAGAGATAGACTGCACCTCGTAAGAACAGGGAAGAATGTATTTGGAAAATGACTGGCTCAGCTTATCCAAAGAGCTCTAAACTAAAACTGAGGGAGGAGGGCGACTAACCTTTAGAACCGAATTCCAAGTGTACCCCGAAGACAATCAACAAAACAAGGAAGCAGGGGCTGATGGGAAGGAAGAAAAGCTCAGACATTAAACAGGAGATGTAGGAAGCAAACCCAGGATCAGCCCTAAAGGACTCAGATGCCTATACACAAATACTCAAATGCAAATTTGAGGAATAAATAGGGTGAACTTGAAGTAGTGGTACACAGGGCAAGTACGGTATAGTTGCCATTACTGAAACTTGGTGGGATGACACTCACAACTGGAATGTATTGCAGGAAGGCTACAATCTGTTCAAAAGAAACAGACCTAACAAATAAGGAGGGGGAGGAGTTGCATTATATGTAAGAGATCACTACACAACTACAGAAATGCATAAAACCAAGGATGAAAGCCTTCTTGAATGCATATGGGTTAACATAAAAGAATGACATTGCCATAGGTGTATAATACAGGCCACCCCAAAAAAGCAGAAGAAATAGATGAACTTTTTTGCTAATCAGTTAACAAATGAATATAAGAAACACATCATAGCAGTAATGGGGACTTTAACTATCCTGACATCAACTGGGAGACAAATTCTGCATCAAGTGGGAGATCAAACAGGCTCCTTATGAGCCTAGCTGACAAGATTGTTGTCCAAAAGGTAGAAGAGGGGACTATAGGGTCAACTATACTGGACTTAATTCTTACTAAAGAGAAGAAATGATAGGAGTTGAAGTTGCAGGAACTTTGGAGGAGAGTGACCACATCACACTGGACTTCAATATAATGCAGACACAAAAATAGAACAAAATCAAACTAATGTTTTAGATTTTTTTAAAAACTGATTTCAACAAACTTACAGACAGCTTGGGAAGGATTCAATGGATGAACACCCCAGGGGAGAATAACTCAAGAAGCTTGGGAAATTCTGAAAAAATATGATTATAAAAGCCCAATCCAGTACAATACTGCTGAAAAATAAAATGTGGGATAGACAGCAACATCACAAATGGATTTGTAACCAGCTGACAAATCACACTCAATGTGCAACCCTTACTGGAATTACATCTATATGGAGGGAAGTAAGCAGTGGGGTACCACAAGGTTCTGTCTTCAGCCCGGTACTCTTCAATATCTTCATAAGCAATTTAGATGAAGAAATAGAAGGGGAACTCATTAAATTTGCAGATGACATTTAACTGGCAGGAATAGCCAACACCTCAGAAGATAGATTGAGGTTCCAGAAGGACTTCAACAGACTTGACCACTGGGCCCTGTCTAATAAAATGAAATTCAACGGAGAAAGAAAGTAAGGTTTTACATTTAGTTAAGAAAAACCAACTGTACAGTACAGGTGAGCTGTACAGGTGAACCAACTGTACGACTAGGTGAAATTTGACTTGATGCCAGTAACTGTGAGACGGATCTTGGGAGTCCTAGTGAACCAGCACGTAAACATGAGCCCGCAGTGTACTACAGCAGCCAAAGGCTGCATTAGGCTGCATTTACAGAGGGTTAGAATGAAGATCATGTGAAGTGTTAGTACCACTATATATAATAATGCCTTGGTAAAACCACACTTGGAATATTACATCTGGTTTTGGTCACCACAATATAAAACAGATGTTGAAACTCTAGAAAGAGTGCAGAAAAGAGCATCCAGATAATCAGCGAGCTGGAGACTAAAGCATATGAAGAAAGGTTGCAGAAATTGGCTACATCTAATGTATGTGGGAGGGGCAGGCGCATGTGCATATTCACCCATGACGTTTGTGGCAATGCTCACGCATGTAGAGCCACAAGTGCCCCCAGTGAAGATTGCATGAGTGGGGCTGCGAGCACCAATGATGAGGCTCGTGTGAGTGGGGGGGAATGGCGGGGGGGGGGGGGCTTGCCGTTAGGAAGTACTTTTGTTGCATACCCGGATATGGTGCTGCCTGCGTTGGTGGGGCACTTCGTATCGGGACACCTTCCGTCACCGTTGCTTTCCCTTCTCCCTTGCTGCCGCGGCGTTTAGAGCAACGCCGCGGCATTTGGCGCAGCCGTGCGTGGCCAGCCAGGGCTCCTCCCTGCAACCAGAGCCCTGCAGAGACACTTGGCTTCAGGTGTTCCTGTCGCCGCCTTACTACTGTGCTGGTTTAGATCATCCCATAGCTAATTTGTTTTAGACTGCAGATATAAACTACATACCTTTGCATTACAAGAAGAACATGTTTATGTTAACCTACCTTCTTGGTGTAATGCCATTTTCCAAGCTTGTGGTTTGACTTCGAAACCAGCGGCGCTGGTAACTCGAAGAGGGGCTGGGAGATGGTAACGGAGTCATCAAAAGACTGGTCAGGGATGCTGTCAACAAATCGAAATGTCAGTAGTTTTGTCAGAAAGGAGAGTTTTGTCAGGATGTAATTTTTTCTGAGCCTGAAGGTGGCTGAGCCATGCTTCTATTATAGATAGCCAATAGAATTTTTAACTTATGGACTGAACATAAGAGATAGAAAGAACTGATTACTTATCTATAAATGCACTAACATCTTTATGTAGATCCTGTGAATTTATGCACGTAAATTGGGCAACATGGATTAAACATCCAGGAAATATAACAAGGTTTCTGAAAAAGGTCTATCAAAGAAAATAGCTAATATTATTCCCTGATTTAAATGAAAACGAGGGATTGACTTGGAATGGGAGGAAATAGTTTTGCTGCAGGAGAGACATATCTTGACATAGCACTGAAGATATCTTAGAATCTAAAGAGCAGATAGGTGTAGGCTAGACCAAAATTCAAGGCAGTAACTTTTGGAAAAAAAAAATATTCCAGAGGTTACAGAGGACCTTGAAAATAATAGAGAAGGACCTAAACTTTTGGTTTTGGGAGAGTATCAGTGCTGGTTTGACCCTTCAAGTAACTTTAGGTATGGAACGGGCTGCATGACAAACTATCTTCAATTTTTATTTGAAAAGATGTTACTTCTATCTGAAAGATGTGGATTATTTCTTCCTTGTCCTCCGAAACTCTATCCGCGGATTCAGGGTGCTGTTGATGAGGAGAACCAGATTGTGATGCTTCAGTTAAAATAGTGTTCAAGACGTAGTGCTGAAATAACAGAGGTTATTAACTCTTTATGTACTAACCCTTCTTTCACTCTATAGTCTTTCAGTGCAGTAAGAAATTAATAGCACCCGGCTTTTTCTTTGTGGGCATAGAAGGTTTTGATCAGTATGTCAAAAAAGCAAATATTGTAAGTCTCATAGCAGTGCTGGAATATAACTTCAAATTTAGAATTAGAGCACTGCACTGGGTTTAAATTTGGCTTTCTTTAGACCTCGTTGCCCAAGTGGTTTGCAAACAGGAAGAAAATGCTGGAGCAAGTCTGCTTCATAAAGGGCCAAACGGCATAGTCAGAAATTAAAACTTGTTCCTACAAAGTAGGCACTTGCAAATGGGACTCTTTAAGATCCAGAGTGAAGACCCAATTCCTGCAACCAGGAGGAAAAACAAGCCTCCTTTCAGATCCAGAAATTCTAACAACAAAAGAAATGATTATAAAAGAAGAGGAGGAGGAGTGGCAAGAGATCTAATATGAAAAAGAAAGAAAGAAATGGAAATAAGAGGATCATGACCATGTTGTGGTAATTCTGAGAACTAGAGTAAATTAGTAACAATTAAACCTATATGCATTGCACAAAGAAGGGAAGATTAGGAGAACTAAGAACATGAAGACTCATTTTGTCTTGTGTTGCCAATATTCTAATATGCTTATAGCACTAAGAACCTGAAGGTGGCATGGTGACATTTACATTTATCTTAAAATCAGTAACTTGTGAATATTAGAAAATCAAGACTGGACAGTTTCAACAATGAGTTTGGAACAGCAGACATCACATGCACGCACACGCACACACACACACACACAAAGATCAATAATATTAACAAAGTGACAAGCAAGCAATTCCTATTTCCGATACTAACAGTATTCAAGGAAAGAATGTATGAATTTCATATCAAAATTAAATCTGAATCTACTGATTGGTATTTCATTAAAGTATTTTGATTACACCTTTGAGAAGAACAAAGAAAAGGATAATACCTGATCGAGCAATGCCACTGTCTCTGTCTTCATTCTGACCTCTATTGGGCATGTCAACAGGAGTGCTGTGTGCTGAATTGTTAAAAATATCAAAGTTAACATGTGTATCCAAGTTATCTTTTCAAAAGGAACTTCCTACTAGCGGTTGGATTCAAGTGTGCTATTGTTATTTTTAAAATAAAATAAATAGGACTGATCTATGAAGTAGCAAATAATATATTGTAACTAATTTGCAACACTATTTGAGGTGCTATTTGAAACATCACTTTTATTATATTCACACAGGTTTGAAGTGAGAAGTCCTTGATGCTTGGTTGTTTGCTTCCAGATGTTTCATTACCCAACTAGATAACATAAACATTGCTAGATGGCATAGGAGTAGCTTTTTGTTTATGTTTATCTACACTGGCAGGGCAAGCTATTGTGTATAGATAATAGGGATATAAGTTTGTAAGTCTTGATACTCAGAAAGCATTAAGGGCTCCATAGAATTACTACTTTCAATGCCTATGCCGCCACAAAATACTGTGAAGTAATAAGGGGGCATTAACTACCAGTGAGTTTCGAATTACAAAATTGCTTTAACAGTGTAACCCATGAAAACCACAAATACCAGGGCTCCTTATTTATATTTTCATGGAATGATTCTTAAGTTTGGGAATCTGACTTCTAGTCATGATGGCAATATATTGCCTTTAGGATTCTCTCACAATAGACTCTCAACAAGAGAGTGCAACTGTACTTACGTTATCCACAGGGGGCTACACTTTAATATTTGTGACTGGAGCAATAGTCTTTGGTCAGCACAACTAAAACATGTATCTCCCTCTTCATCAACCACATTTTAGAAAAACAAATGCATATCACTTGCAGGATTTATAAAGTTTTTAAAAGTTCGTAGTTAGAATCAATTATTACTCTGTTCAATTTATCTGTATGGAATACTGTTTGGAAGGAATATGTCACTTTACACTTTTCTACAAATGCTTGAATGTGGTGTTTTTAATAAATAATTTCTCTGGAAACTCTCCCACTTTTACAAGAGTTGCAAGCTTGAAAAATATAATTAAAATTCAAACCGAAGTCTTAGGACATGATAGTATTTACTGATTTAGGGAATTTATATTGCGGCCTATTCACACATGGCAACTCAAGGCTGCTTACAGAATATAAAACCCCATATAAAAACAATACAAGATATCATAAATTAACATATTAAAATCACCCCACCCCCTACCCCGGTGACATCACCTTATTGACAATCAGCACCTTGAATTGCACCCAGAAGCAAATTGGCAGCCAACACAGCTCCCGCGGGAGAAGTGATACATGTGCACACTGGGGTCTGTACAAAACCATGTGGGCCGCTGCCTTTTGCACCAACTGGAGCTTCCTAATGCTCTTCAAGGGCAGCCCCATGTAGAGTGCGTTGCAATAGTCAAGACTCATGACTAGGGCATGAGTGACTGTGAGTAGGGATAGTACAGAACAGAATTAAGATGTTTATTGAAGCAAAACTGTCAGACTGGCCCAGTTTACTTCCTAGGAAAGAACAACCCTTGATTCCATAGGTGTTAGAGAAAAGGAACTTTAACTGGAGAGGCTGAGTGCGGTGTAGCAAGGCAAGCTCTGAAGAAAAACCACTGGAAAAATCATATATTGAAAGCGATCCCCCCAATGTCCAAAACCCTCCCCTCTGTGAGAGTAGTCCAATCAGGTTCTGTTCAGATATTTTGGGAACCCAGTGCCCTGGGCACCACTGTAAATTCTTTCCCCAGGATCGGGGTCCGTGAAGGCAGGAAGAAGGCTCGGCTTTGGCACGCCTGCTTCCTGTTAGTCTTGTCCATACTCCACAACGTTTTTTCACACCTCCAGTGCTCTTCCCCTCCCAAATGCCTCTCCCCCATTTGCTAGTGAGCTTCAAAGAAAGTGAAGATGGCAGCTGACACAATACCTTTCATGTATGGGGTTACTTATTTATTTATAAGCTACAAAAATGTACATGTCCAGGGAAAATCATTCAAATCAAAGGCAACATTTTAGAAACTATACAATGTTAGCACACATGCGCTCAACAATTACCGATTTTCAAAAAGCTTCTTGTTCAGTAATCAATGCTAGCGGAGCAGCAAGTTGCAACCCATGAAGGTAATATTTAAATAAATATAAATCAACATTAGAGGGATTACTAGATTGAGAGAGCATACGGTAGAAGGTTTGTGACCCTTCTAAGATTAAATTATACACTTCTTTTATACTTTCTCCCAAAATGTTATTCCTTTATTAAAATCATTTGAGCTCATTGGGTGTTTTTTTTTTTTTTAGTTGAAGCAAGCCAGTGGGAATCACAGAGAAAGCGTGGCAAATAAATATGCTAGCATTTATTGTGTGTGCAAGAATAACTTCCAAAAAAAAAAAATTAATAACCTGGGAAAAACAACTTCTCTCAAAACTGGAAAAACACAATTATTAGCTTCATATTTCACTGAAAAAAATACTATTGATGAAGGAATTCAATTGATGCAGCCCAATATTTTAAGATGTCTGTCTATCATTAGAGGCATCATTTGTAATTTTATTCAATAAAAATGAGGACCAATCGTGTCATTCCACTTATAGAGAGTAGTTACTGATCCCATGGCAACAGATATTACTGCATCTCACAAGTTATAGATAGGTTCATCGTGCTGTATTAACATTGCACACAAACCTGCAAAGAAAGAATCACTCCGGATGAGCCCTCCTTCAGGTATACTATGCAACAACATATAGCTACCTGGTGGTAACACACCTGAAGAGGGCAATATGGGAAATATACAGATCAAGGATCAGAGAAACCTAAAATTTGAAGAACCAACCAAAGGATATGTTCTATGCGGTACTGCTGCACATCTGCTAATTTTAATTAGATATATTTACCTAAAATACTTCCGTTCTGATACTGGCCCAAGGCATTTGGATGTAAATTCAGCCTTGACTGGTCTTGATGGATGTATTCAAAACTACCCTGCAAGCTTGAAAAAGAAAAGGCCATTCAAGAAAGATATTAAAATTTCATCAAAACTTAAAATTACTGATAATTTTTCACTACTAATCTTCATTAGGAAAAGTTATGATTTTGCAAAATTTCTAATTTATAGATTATCACCTTCAGGTAATCTATAGATTTTCCTTATGTGAAAAAAGGAAATGAAAATTAAGCAATTGCATCCATTGATGTAAAAATTTGTATCCAAATTTAGAATTCTCCACCTGGAGTTCTGCATAGTGTGGCATTGTTGCTTGATGGAAATTTTTAAAAAGCACCTGCCTAATTAAAGTTTGCAGTGATTGATTTTGGCTATATCACAGCCATATAAATATGCCAAAGTTACATCTTTCCGCCCCCTATCTGTTTCTTTTGGATTCAGCTGTCTAATTTTATTCTTTTTTGTTTCTCTTATCTAAGGCAACTATAATGGAAACTAAATTCTTGCACTGTTCATGTTGTATTACAATAGCCTAATTCTCATGGAATATTAGAAAATATTGTGATAAGCAGTATTCCCTAAGAGATGATGCAAGAAGCTAAAGTGCCCAAGAAGAAGCTTTGCTGACGTATAGTCCACAACTTTAACCTTTAAAGTAACAAAACACAAAACTATTCCCATCGTTAATTGTCGCAGACATGGCAAAAAAAACCTTCTAGTGGACAATACTATGTGCATCTCAAATCCTATGCCTGGAACCAATTAGATCATACCTAGGCAACATAACATTTTTTTGTCAGGCAAAAGGACAGGTTTCCTCCCAGGAGGCAGATAGAAAAAGTAGCAGCCCCTGCCTCCTTTTTCCTAAAGCCCTCTTTCTCCTGAAGTTCAGTTTCTTGCAGACATGAGCCAAGGGAAGATGGTTTCTTCTTTCAGACTCTTTCGTGCCTCTCCGTACACAAAGGAAGGGCCCACTTCTTTCTCTCTGTAAAAACACAACCTGTCTGAGCTGAGAATTGTAACTTTGAAGATGTGACTTTGGCACGTTTATATGGCTGTGATATAGCCAAAATCAATCGCTGCAAACTTTAATTAGGCAGGTGCTTTTTAAAATTTCCATCCATTCTGGCCAACATACTGGAGGATTTTAAAGGAGAAGAGAAAGGGCGAGATGCAAAAAGAAGAAACAAGGTTTTTTGCTTTTCTCCTCATAGAATAATCACAAATCTGAGTTGCAACCTGATTTTATACGAGACAGTTCAAAGGTGTACGAAAACCATCCATTAAAATTAGGAGGAGTTCCCACTATGTGAGAGAAGGAAAACAGGTCTGCCCAGTCTCTCCTTCTCTTCATATCCTTGTCGTCCATTCACTTCTACTAATTTGCAGGGCGAGTCTGTGATGAGAGGCAGATTTAGAATTCTGATTACAGGATTCTAGGCTGCATGGAGATTTGCAGCGCACATTAATGTCACGGAGAAAAATTCTACAGCATTTACTATTATCCACTCTCCAATAATTTGATGGGTGATATTCTGTATTTTTAAAGGATGAAAATATCATTAAGTGTCGTACCTTATGATTCTCAACTCTTGACAAATGTATCTTTTCTTTTATGTATACTGAGAGTATTTACACCAAGACAAATTCCTTGTGTGTCCAATCACACTTGGCCAGTAAAGTATTCTATCTATCTATCAGAGAAATTTTCACGTGTTGACTACAGGTACAACAGTTCATTTATTGGCCATTCAAAGTTACAACGGCACTGAACAAAGTTACTTATGACCATCTTTCATGCTTACCACCATCCTGGTCATGTGATCAAAATTCAGATTCTTGGCAATTGATTGATATTTATGACCTTTGCAGTGACCCGGGGTTATGTGATTCCCTTTAGCGACCTTTTTACAAGCAAAGGCAATGGGGAAGCTAGATTCACTTAACAACTGTGATTTCATGTTGGTTTTAGCCAAAGCTTTTTGTATGTACTTAACTATTCTAATATTGTAAAATTCGGCTTCAGTAAAGTCTTGGAATTTCACTCTTTCATGAGGCAATGACATAGTGAATGGTTTATGTATTTATTTTAATTTATTTGATTCTGTGGCCAGCTATAATGATTAGGGAAATAAAGTAGAAATAAGTAGAAAATAAATATAGAAACATATAAAAACTATCAATAAAACTACACAAAAACAAAAACTGTCAGACTTCATCGCTAGATCAGATTCTACACAACCACTATAGAAGTTCTCCACTATTTCCAGACCCCCAGGTAGAATGGCAAAGCCATGACTTAAAAACCTTCCTAAAGGCTGGGTGGAACAGGGTTAATGTAAGATCTACACAATTTTTTTAGGTAGGAATTTCTTCAGTTCTACTTTTTTGATAGACGAGTTATACTATGGAGAGAGGATTTCAGGCATTAGGAAATTCCTTTCGTGGAAGAAAATTAGAAAGAATATCAACTTAATTTCTGAATCCACAAATTTGGTGAAGAATTTGAAAGACCATTTCTCCTGACCCCTATTGTCTACTTATTAGGGAAAATATGACAAGGAGGGAGCATTAGGTATGTTCACCACCTTGAGGAATGTATAAAAATAATAAAGGTGGAATTAAAGTAAAACAAAACATTTTGTTCCCTACTGTAGATCTGTATATCCCAATTCCAATCAAGTCAGTTAATGTCATTTTAATCCTAGCCTACATTTAGGGATTTTACATTATTATAAGTGTTGTGGTTCTGGGTAGAAGTTTTGTCCTTCCTGTATGGTGTTGATCTTTATTCTTACACAAACAAAATTACAGTCCACTTTATTATGGACTAGATTTGAATATTATTTTTAAAAATAAAATAAATTGAACCAATAAATTTCTAAGGAATTTTTCTCATAGTTAAGAATCTGAAATGAAACAGAAAATAAAATATCGCCTTACCTATTTGTACTTTCAAAGAAGCTGCCTATTCTAGCAGAAAACACTTTACTCATCATAAGTTGTGGAGGAGAACTGAAAGGATAAACAATGCCATGAGTCAACAATTCCAAATACAATTCCAATTCTGATATAACAACTTGGAACCGAAGACACCAGCTCACCGTATATAGTGAATCTTCAGTGTTGATCCTTTGTAACTCATCGCTACCGAACCAAACATCATCTCACCCAGCATGTTGACATCAGAAGCAGGCCTGGCATACTATAGATAAAAGAAGATAAAGAGTATACATGTGTCTAATAACTGTCATAAATTGTCATAGTCTAATTGCACATTAACTCGGTTTTATTCTACAAGCATATATTAGTGCATCCCAGAAGAAGCAAATGCAATGCGGAAGGGTTTTCCGAAGACTTCCCAAGTTCTGCTGGATAATCACCATTGGCAGATAAAGTAAAAAAATATGACACCCCATAACTACGGACTTCCCTAATTTAAGACTTTTTTTCTTTCTGTGGGAAGATATATAATAGCCGTATAGGAAATTAAGATGTATATTTACGCAAAAATACATTTCACCTTTTATACTGTCACCCCAAATGTAACCATTTATATATTTTTGTCCCTGCTCCCATGCACATTATAAAGCTCTTTTTTGCTATTACAGTCTTGTGGCAATAGGTGGAAATTCAATGTAAAGATTAATTACCAGATCACGCAAATTGGATTTGTATAGATTTCAGTGGTCACATTCAGGTTACCTGATATTTAGGAATATCTTCCTTGCCAGGTTCTCTGCTGTTCACCGAAGGGCCATGGGGGTAAGCTGTGTTAATACCACTGTTTCTTTGGCAGCACCCGCCACCTGTTTTACCAGAAGCATCCTAAAAGGATTGAGTACATATTAAATATAAATCAGGTCCAAAATTTTGTCGGGGGAAGGGGAGAGACAATTAGAACATTTGAAATTTGAAAGAAAGATCTGCTTACTTGTAATGGTAGGATAGAATGACCTTGGGGAATGAGGAAACGGATGTTGTTCAGGGAACAACCAGACAAAATAGAGAGGAGTCCCTAGTGGCTTAATAGTCAAGAGGAAGAAACTTAGGAAAAAATCTGCCCTAATTGATCAGGTGGTAAAAAGTGGTAGCGGGAGAATTGACTTGCAAGATTCTGTTAATGTAGCCTTAAAATAAAGTACAATTAGATTACCTAGATGGGTTTTCTGACTTATCTACCTGGAAGACTGAAATTGCTCTTATAAATGACTGTCATACAAACCCTTGACTATTCATCAGTCATGGCAGATATGACTATTAATAAAATACCCACCTACAGACCAAGTGAAGTTACCCTCTGCTACCCACTTCAGTTCCCCAGGAATCTGTTCAATATCGAGCTTGCCTTTCTATTTTCATGAGCAGGTGGTCATGCTTCCAAGCAAGGCACTGGAGTGCATATTTATTCTCCAAGAATGCACTTGGGACCATGTATAGAACTTCTATAAATAAAGATGCTACAGGTTGTTGTTTTTTGCAACAGGCCACCTCCAAATGTGTCTTTTAATAATATGAACTTTTAAAAAAATTAGAGTGAGGGGAATAGAAAGCTTAGTGGGTATCAAGGAGATGTTCATTGACAGACTAATATTGATAGGAATTTCAGAACATCAACTCCAACTCCTACAAGTACCAGTTACTTCAGCAGTATTTCGCTGAATGTACCAACACTGAAAAATAATAAAAATGAGTTGCTGGCCCTTTTTTCTTACCTGAAGTATATGAACTGGGCTTTGCTGAATTTAATATTGTTCAAAGCAAATAAGCTTTTTTTACAAAGAGCTGACAAAACTTTCCTATTTCTCTTAATAGTATAACATTAAATTCTCAAAAAGATTCTGTCTGTTTACAAGTAGAATCTTCAAACAAGATCTTGGATCTTTGAATTGTTTACCAATTACTCTGTTTAACCATGTATATACTGTTAGCCTGAAATCATGTGCCTTATATACCTCAGTGTTTTATCCCTTCTTTAGTAATGCCATCGAACGAAAAGTAAATGAAAAGCTATCTTTTTATGAGTTAGTAATGTGGGAAGCTAAGCCTTAGGAAAAGATACATGAACCATCATTCCCCACACCCTTTATATGTGCCAAAGCTCATAATCCGTTAAATTTAATTCTGATTCTCTATTAGAAAAACCCCCCACAAATATATCTTAAAATAGCCTTCCTTGCAAGGTGCCCTCACGGTGTGCTGAGATAAGGCTACAACTCCTTTATGTACAAGCTGTTTGATGAACCTTGGACTTAGAATTAAAAGAGCAAGGAGAACAAAAATATAAAATCATATTCGTCATATTTCTTTTTTACTACTGAGACTTAGATCAATTGCAGAAATAAGCAGTTTTTAACTTAGCCCAGAGGTCTCAAACTCGATTTCATTGAATGTTAAATGAGCATATATATGAAGATCAAAATGGATTTCTCCCAACCAGACAAATCAGGAACAACTTAAGAATAGTACTGATGTCTTAGAATTTTGCGAAGCCCACCTCAAAAAACAAATTGCACTTATATTATTAGATGCAGAGAAGGCCTTCGATAATTTAAATTGGCAATTTTTAATCCAAAAAATATATAATATGAATTTAGGCACCAAATTTGAAAATACTATAACAATCATTTATGATACACAACAGGCTAATATTATAATAAACAGGGAATATACCCACCCAATAAAAATAGAAAAAGGAATCAGGCACTCTCACCCCTGCTCTTCATATTATCATTAGAAGCATTACTAACACGAATTAGACAGAACCAGACATAAAAGGATTAAACGTTAAGAAAGAATAATATATAAGTTGCAATTGTTTGCGGGTGATATAATTTTTTTCATTGAAGAACCAATAGAAAGAGGACAAAAACTGATGAATGAATTAGAACAATTTGGAGCAGTAGCAGGACTAAAAATTAATAGGAAGAAAACAAAATTAATGACTAAAAGTTTAACAGAAAAACAGAAAATAGAACTAGAAGAAGTTATGGGAATACAAGTGATAAAGAAAGTTAAATACTTAGGAATATGGTTGACAGCACATTGCAAGACACTCAAAGAAAATAGCTATGATAAATTGATGCAACAGATAAAGAAGGGTTTAGAAACATGGGGCAAGCTGCAACTTTCATTAATAGGCAGGATTGCTGCTATTAAAATGAATATTATTCCAAAATTCCTCCATATATTTCAGACGATCCCAATCAAAGTACAATTTTTGAAGAACTTAATAAAATAACTGTAAAATTTATCTGGCAAAGGAAAAAACCTAGAATAAATTTAAAGGCAATGCAGGATATGAAGAGCAGGGGAGGGCTGGCACTTCCAAATTGGGTGTTGTCTTATAGTGCAGCCTCTTTAGTATGGTTGAAGGAATGGGTGAATTTAATCAATAAGAGAATATTATTCTTAGAAGGCCATGACTTACAGAGGGGGTGGCATGCTTTTTTATGGGATGCTGGGAAAAACAGCCAGAAATATTTTCACAGACACCTAATCAGAGACTCATTATTAACTAATTGGAAGAAAATATGGAAAAAACACTATTTAAAAACACCAGTTTGGATTTCAACAATGGAGATGATGATTCACCCAAATAATCTGGATATCACTAAAATGATTAAATATAAGGACCTATTGGATACGCAAGGAAATTTGAAATCACGGCAAGAACTTCAAGAGCGGGGACTAAAAATTGATCAGTGGGCATATCTTCAAATTCAAAGTAGATATAAACAGGACAAGAAAGAATTTGGAATTAACAATAAACTCCAGCAATTAGATAAAATTTTATTAGGATCAGGCAAAAAAAAATAACAAAATTTTATAATTATTTATTAGAAGTAGAACTAGAAGAAGAAATTGTAAAAGGGAACATGATAGCCTGGAGTAGGAATATAGGACGTAGCATCACCATAACAGAATGGGAAAAGGTCTGGGGTAGAAATAATAAAATTACAAAATTGGCAGCATACAAAGAAAACGCCTATAAAATGTTTTATAGATGGCACCTTCCTCCTTCGAGATTAGCGAAGATGCACCCCAATGAGTCCGAATTGCTGGAAATGCAAAAAAAAGAGGGAACTTTTTTCCATATGTGGTCGTCCTGTACAGAAGCTCAAAAATATTGGCAGAAAATTAGAAATTGGCTGGAAGAAATGACAAGAGAACAGATCAAATTCAAACCAGAGTCCTTTCTGTTAGGGATCTTTGATAAACAAATATCAAAAAAAAAGTGAAATATATAATAATATACATTTTGACAGCAGCCAGATTGGCTTTTGCACAATGTTGGAAGCAGCCTCATGTTCCTTCAGAGGAGATGATTATTCAAAAAATTTCAAGTTGTGCAGAAATGGACAAATTAACCTTGGCATTAAAAAATAAAGACACTTCAATATACTACAACAGCTGGAACTGCTGGTACAAATGGATAGACCAAAGATAGACTTCACACTAAAAGGCAAAAGAGGATAGGATAGATCCATAGTAGTGATACATACATATATGTAAGGATTAGGTGTGCGTATCTGGCATAAAATAAGAATAAAAAAGAGGTCTTACAAACTGTTGAAGGTGAGAATGTTTTTAATTGTTTTCAATTTTTTTCTTTTCTATTTTCTTCTTCCTTTCTTCTTTCTCTCTCTTTCATTTGTGTATGTGTTGTTGGTTTGTTTTAATTGTAAAATCAATAAAATTTATTTTTTTAAAAAAAGAGATTTGAAAAAGGTAAAGTTTGAATGTACATGTGATATAACTGGAGAATAAATACAAAATACGGTAGGGGCATTTAATTTGTTAAGTGTACCAGGAAAACCAGCACAATCCTAATTTAAAGGGTACAATTTGAGAACATAACATTTGGAAATAACATTTGGAAATTCTGGCTTAATGTCAAGCATACTAGGCAGTCGAAATTTTTGACAGTCACTGAGATACATACGAATTTGCATAAAAATGACAACCCTCCATTTGTGGATTTAGAGAGTGTCCAATAATATAAAAATGCTTGAACCATGAAATATTTTGCTTAAATATGAAGTTGATTGTTTGCTGAATGTGACAAGACAATATATGAGGGAATTAAACCAGACTAAATATTCAGTAAACAATTAATCGCTGAAATGGGACAAAACGCAAAGACGCGTGATGTCTCCTTTGGTGTTGGTTAATAGGGTTGTGAATATGTTTGCCTTTTGCTTTATAGGTGATGCCAAGTTTGTGACCAAAAACCTCAATAATTTATAGCGAATATTAGATAGATTATATTTTATTACACTTGAATGATATCAATATATTTATATTCTTAATAAAGCAAAGCCTCTATCAATAGCAATAGCACTTAACATATACCGCTTCACAGTGCTTTACAGCCCTCTTTAAGTGGTTTGCAGAGTCAGCATATCTGGACCCAATCTAGGTCCCCATTTTACTGATCTCGGAAGGATGGAAGGATGGGTCAACCTTGAGCCAGTGAAATTCAAACTGCCAAACAGCTGCCAGTCAGCAGAATTAGCCTGCAACACTACATTTTAACCACTGCGCCACCATGGCTCATACAAGTTCGCTAACAAGAACTATATACCACATACACCACATTAAAGATGTCATTTAATTTTAAGTTTGCTGTCAGCTTTTTAAAACATATACATAATATCTTAGTTTATCTTTATTTTGTCACATTTTTTCTAATTCTACATTATTTGTTCTAATTTCACTAAGGGAGATTTAATTTATCTGATAAATGTTAATAGATGAGATACAATAAAAGATTACTTAAAACTGAAAAATATTTTTATCACGTGAAAGAAATAATAAAAACTCACCTGAAACTGTTTCTCATCAGTCTTTCGAACAGCTGTAGAATCAAACAAGACTTGTCTCCCCCGTCTTTCACAGTCTTGATATACTATCAAGCGGATTTCATTTAGATCAAACCCAGAACAGGACCAACTATGAGTTTTAAGTGAAAGAAAGAATGAAGAGAATTATGCAAATGCAACAGTCTGTAGTGGAAACAGTTAATCTAAGGAATGGGAATTCAGAGCTCCAGTTAACAGTAGAGAAGAAGATGAAACACTATAATTCCATCAAATATTCTGCTTTCAAATATACATATGTATAGCGCTTTGGGTAGCAAAATTATTTCTTTTCCCAAATTTTCTAGAGGCCTAGATATTCTCCTCTATTCACTGATCCAATAAGTTTCAGCCTTAATAGTGTAAAAAATAACTCTCACACTGTGTCAGCCTTCAAGATCTTCTACTATTGCTTTGCATCTTTTGGCTGCCATAAGTAACGGGGGGAGGAGGGGGTAAAGTCTGGGAAGCGAGCTGGAGGTGTTACATTCTAGTGTTGTATAAAATGAGGAGGGGGGAGTATAAATTCTTGCTTAGGTTTCTATTTCTCGCTTAGCTTTCTTTTCTCTGCGCAGCTGCAAACCTTTATCAAAATACGCCAAGGTCAACGGACAGAGGCCTCATCACCACCTGAAGATGTCCACATGATCATATTCACAACTTTTAATTGGAAGAATCATTTGAACTATGCGGGGTGGGAACATTTCCATCACTTTGTATATGTGATTTGCGCGCCTAATTTCTCAGATTCAGAATTCTACGGTTGCTACCACTTCATTTTCACTAAAAGATATCTTTTCTCTAATCTAAGGAGTCTAAGTATTTCTTTCTTGAATTTTGAATGGAGCGCCACCTGACACACTGGAAAAGAATGGGAAGCAATCAAAATTATCATTAAAAAAACCCCATAGGGAAAAATATCCAAGGAAAATATCCAATATTGAACACTATTTTAGTTTAAGAAAAAAAGGGTGTATATGAGAGGGAATGGGCTTGTAAGTATAGGGTGGAAAAGATGTAAAAAGAGATTTCTCCTTTTTATGCATTATCCAAAGTTAGAGCCAGGCAGCTGTGGGATGCTACAGATTCTGCCCGGCTCTATAGAACCAGTAGCTCTGAAGAGCGCCAGACACAGAACTGGTCTTTGGCCCACCCGCCTGCCTGGGCTCTTACCTGACCTTTATTTCCTGCTTTTTCAACCGCAGCTGCTTTGCGTGGCACAGCCGAGTTTGAAAAAGCAGCAAAAAAGTGCTTTTTCAAACGCTGCACACCTGCGCGCAGCGCTTATCAGCTGTCCGGGCGGCACAGTTGATTGTGTATTACACGCGCTAACGCAGCGCAAAATGTAGTTACCGAACTGGTAGTTAACACCAGTTGAATCCCACCCCTGGAGCAGGGGTATAAAACTCAAGGCCCGGGGGTCAGATCTGGCCCACAGGGGCTGCCATGGAAACAGTGAAGGACCAGCCCATGGTGCTTCTGCCAGCGAAAACGGGCTCCCAAGCTCAGTTTTCAGCTGCCACAGCCGCCTGCAATCCTCTGCCAATGAAAACTGAGCTCAGGAGGGCTGCATGCTCCGTTTTCACTGGCAGAGGATTGCAGGAGCCCGTGGCAGCTGAAAACAGAGCTTGGGAGCCCATTTTCGCTGGCAGAGAGTTCAGGTCACCACAGGAGCCCCCAACACAAGTAACATTGAACTGGCCATGCCCACCCTGGCCCTATACCCACGTCCCCCCGCCCAGGGGAAACATAACCCTGATGCGGCCCTCAATGAAATCGAGTTTGACACCTGACTTAGCGGAATATCCAGTGTACTTGGGAAACTTGATAGTAGCTTATATAATGCATAGGTCAGTTACACATTTCAATACCAGATGTGGAAATGTTATCATCTTTTTAAAAAGGATGGTATCTTTAAAGGGAAATTCAAAGAGGGACAGATATTCCTGAGTTTGGGGAAAAATAGCTACATACAGTAGGAACCTATCTTTTTTTTCCATCTTCTTACAGACTTCTGGTTGGTCATAGAGTAAAATAGGACTATTTTTTAAAATCAGAAACATCATGGCTTCTCTTCTGCACTTATTACCTATTTAGCTTGATTATTGTATGCTTAATGTAAAATAATATGCCTGTTCCATTGTTAAGAATATGTAATGCATATTTTCATTATAAGCATGGGATAACCACGTGCTCAGTGGCATCCCAGAGCGTAGCCTTAGAAAAAGAAAGAAAAGATGGAACAAGTTTTAACAAACTATATTCATCAACCTAAAAATACTTGTGGACTATTACAACATGCACATAAAATGGACGGACTCCTAATCAGACCAACAGCACAGTGTGGATGATCAGTAGCGCGTGTTTAGATCATGACTGTACAATCCTGCAGCCTCTCCAATCATAAGGCTTTTTGTGTGACTCACAATATCCTCCCCAGTTGTTACTACTAATTTTCAAGAAATGTCAAATGTAACCCAGCGATTTCATGAACAGATAATGTAGGAAAGGGCACGGTAAAATAGATGCTATGTAAGCAGTTTACTTTAAACACATCCAATTTCTATTTCTGAAGATAAAATTATATACACACAGTTTATTATTAATAGCCCGACTCAATCTGCTGGAGGTTGAAGGTCTCTCTGTGGAAAGTTATAGACCATAAATTTTGTTCAAGTTAAAAACCTAATGATTAAAGTTGATTTTTAAAACTTCCTAGCCTAGCGCTGAGAATGAATGGCCTAAACTGATGCGGATCGCTTCCATGCTTAATGGAAGACTAAAATTTGGGTCTCTAATATGCTTACCCATTATATCATACTGGCATTCTCAGATATAGTCATGTGAATTAGATAGATTATATTTTATTACACTTGAATGATATTAATATATATTTATACTCTTAATAAAGCAAAGCCTCTATCAATAGCAATAGCACTTAGACTTATATACCGCTTCACAGTGCTTTACAGCCTTCTCTAAGCGATTTACAGCGTCAGCCTCTTGCCCCCAACAATCTGGGTCCTCATTTGACCCACCACAGAAGGATGGAAGGCCAAGTCAACCCTGTAAACACAAACTGATGTAGAAATGGATTGGAATAAATTACAATAAAAATGCAATTGAATGCCACGTATTTAACAGAATTTGCACAATAATTTGATAATACTAAAAAAAAAAACTTTTAGTACTGAAAAAATAATCACAGATGATTACCTGGAAAAGAACACATGTGATAATATAAATGCAAAATAGTGATACTCCCAAGCCCAGTCAAAGCCAGATTTACATTAAGCTTTCATACCTTTTGGATAATTCTCCAGTAGGTCTCTTTAAATATTTGGGACTCTTTCCTGCCACAACTGATTTGCTTTATCCAGTCTTGGTTTTGAAAGACTGTTCCCTAGTGAAGTAGGGGAACTTGAGTTCTGCGCCCGGTTATCTGTGCTGTTTGGTGATTTTAATGTACCTCCCACACATTTTCAGTTCACAGACATGCTGTCACAAGCATGATTTCTTCAAAATAATAATTTTATAGTTAAGTATCCAAATAGATTACTGTGTAATAAACTACTGATGAGAGGAATGTCACACAAAAATTGGCTAGCACCAACTTGGCTTTTTAAGAAAAGAAATAATATCTTCTGCTATCAGAATTACTTCTTTAGATAAAATTTAACCATTTACTATTAAAAGGTATAATCAATAACTTCTTTAAAACATAGAATAACTTGCTTGTTCTTATAAATGCCGCCAGCTTTGTTGCTAGCAAAGAAGAACCCCGACAGTCATGCTTCCTGGTATGTTTCTGTAACCAGCAATTATTTGATTACAAGATCTAACCAGATGGCCCGTAACAGAGAGGTAAGCTGCTTTCTCACTGACTCTTCAGTTACAAACTTGTTTTAAAACAGGAGGCAACACCCTCTTAATGGTCTCAGGTGAGCAAGTGTCATCTGACAGCTCTTAGCAACCTTGGGTCTCAGCACCATCTCTTCAAGGTAAACAGGAACCGGCCACCAATGCTACAGACTATCTGTCAGAAATGATTAACACAAAAGAGAGACCTCCTCACTTCTGCATTCAGACTTGTTCACCACCAGTAACAAAGAACAATCTGAATACAGTAAGAACTCAAAACTTGTTATTTGCTTCATTTTATTAGTTCTGAAGAGGCATGAGGACTGAAAGACTAGCGATTTACACTTAAAGGATCTTAAAAGCAAACTATCAAGTAAACACAAGTTACGAAATTTAAGCATAATACTTGGCCTTCTTTCTGGGTCACCCATACACACATGGATAAGGATGCAAATTAAAACAAGGGTATTTTCAGTGGGGCAGGGGGCCATTGGCTGGGAGTGAGTACGAATGACAAGCAGTGTTCACTAACATGATGTATGCTCTGCCCCCTTCGTACATGTGGCATGTCCTATGTATGTACAAAAGGGGAGAGCCTAGATTGCAACAGGTCAATGCTGCTTTAAAATTTGGTAAGTGTTTGATCTTCCAAGTATCTATGTCAGCAATTCATCAAAAATGTGAACAGACTTGTCCAATAATTACCTCTGCACACCACACTTAACTAGAACGCTATTTATTAATTGGTGAATAAGGACAGTCGTGTTTGCAAATCACGCTTTTGAAAAATAATTTAAGCATTTAATCTCAACAAAGAATATGATTTTCTGCACATATATTGGTATAGACCAATTTGTTATACTAGAATTAGTACAGTCTTGGAGAAGGAGTCCTCATTCAGCAACTGTCTCCTTTAGTGACCATTTGCAGTTGCGATAATGAAAAATAATTATAACTAGTCCTCACATAACTTCTGGAAGTCTGCAAGGCAAGAGAAAGCTGAAGATCATAAGCATAGACAACGGTTTCACTTAGCAACTGCTCTGCTTAACAACCAAGTTGATTGGTTCCAATTATTGTTACAAAATGAGAACTTATCTGTATTTAGATGACGTGCATAACCATCCAACAGGATAGCAACTTAAAAACAAAAATTACTCCAAATACTTATAGGAAGAACCAACAATTGTCCAGGGAAGCTACTGAAGAATGTTGCTAGTCCCAAATTATATT